AGGCCCAGCCAACAGTTTCGCCTCAGGCGAAGCCAAGCTCCAGCTCGGCTGTATCGTAGTAGCGATAGTCCCAATGCAAGAGGAGATGCCATCTCAAGTAAGAGGGAATACCTTTTAGTCTCGATAGCGATAGTGTGCCTCGCGGTGAGGCACAGTCGTATCTGGGCGGCCGGCCGCTTTGAACCAAGGCGGCCGCTTTTACGTCCCCCAGCTCGCTTTAGAGTCATGGAGCATCCCAAGAAGGCCCCAGGTCGGCCCAGAAAGGCCCTCAAGACGGCTTCCGACGGCGTTAAGCAAACCAGGAGGCCACCAAAACGGCCCAAGATGGCCCAAGACGGCTCACCAGGCCCCAAAGAGGCCTCCAAGACGGCCTAAGAGGCCTCCAAGAGATCCTCCCGAAGAGGCCAAACTCATTGATGTGCCTTAGGCTGCTGACGGATTTTCGCATGCACTTCTGTTCGGCATCCCGACGGCCCGAAACAGCCCAAGAGCCCAGGAAGGTCTGCCCAAGATCGCCTAAGAAGCCTCCAAGATGGCCCCAGAACGGACCAAGAGGCCTCCAAGGCGGCCTCGAAGACGGCCCAAGCCAAGAGGGCGCCCAGTCGGCCCAGAGAGGCCCCCAAGACGGCTTCCGACGGCGTCAGGAGGCCAGGAACGCCCTAAGGTGGCCCCAGAGCCACCAAAGATCGCCCCAAGAACGCCCAAGAGGCCTCTAAGATGCCCCCATCACGGCCCAAGAGCCCCCCCAAGATGGCCCCAAGGAGCCCCATGACGGCCCAAGAGGCCTCGAAGACGTCCAAGATGGCCTCCAAGACGGCCCTGGAGCACGCCAAGGGGGCCCAAGGTCGGCCCACAGAGGCCCTCAAGACGGTTTCCGGCGGCGTCGGACGGGCTAGGAATGCCCTAAGACTGCCAAAGAGGCCCCCGAAACTCCCATAGGCCCCTGAACCCCCCAAAGGCCCCTAAGAGGCCCAAGGAGGCCCCACCTCAAGAGGCCCAAGGAAGCCCCCAAGATGCCTCAAAGAGGCTCCCAGGAAGCTTCTAGGAGGCCCCAACAGTGCCCCCAGAGGCTCCCAATATGCCCCCTCCCCCTCATACTCCCCCTCTTGCCCCTCCCCCTCCCCCTTCCCTTCCCCCTTCTCCTCCTCCTCCTCCTCCTCCTCCTCCTCCTCCTGATCTGCCCCGCCATCCTCCCCCACTTGCTCCCCGAAGGATTTCCACAATGGCTGGAGGAACGCATGGTCCGATGGCTTCGCGGAGCTTTTGCCGCAACGCTCGGCCACATGGGCAATTCCAAAAGGCATGGGGCGGTGGTGATTCGCCGTAGGCGTCTTCGAGAGTCCTCTTCGATTGCCTGCACAAGCCCCGGGTAGAGCTCCTGAACCTTCTCCACCACCGTCTTTAGTTCATCTTCAGTCAAGTGCCCCTCCACAAATGGCACTTCACCAATGTCCGGATTGGTCTTCATCGCCGTCGGATGGAGCTCCTGGATAACGCTTTGCAGCTCCGCATCCGTAGCACCCTGCCTCATCATGAACATCCACGTCTTGTTTTCTTCAGTTCCCTCACGTTCACCATTGCCTGTACGGCGGCCATTCGGCGCACGGGGGTAGATATGCACGCCAGCATGCGTGAAGAACTCCCTCCCAAAGTCATCTTTCGACGGTGCCGGAGCGGACCACACCTGCATCAGCTCGAGGTCGCTGGAAGAGGCCAGGGGAACTGCACAACGGGCCCCGACGAGGCTGGCGACCAGGAGGGCACGCGCCATCTGCTTCGCGGAGAAGATCGATACCGAGTGTAAGTTGTAAGTGTCTGTCTATGAGTGCGAACCTGCAAAGAACTGTGGGAGTCCAGCGGGAGGCGAAAGGGGGCGGCCGCGCAAAACTCGTGACGCTCTCCGACCCTGGACCACCGCACGCAGCACCCCTCCGCAGCCACGGCCTTGCGGGCCGGGCCTCTGGGCCGCGGCCCCGCGGCTGCGGGGCGCGTCTTCCGCGCATGCCCCGCGCAGAACGTGTCCGTGCGACCGCGCGGGATGCTCCTTCGGCGGACCTTGCCGGAGCCTCTCGCTCCCCTCGTGCGTCGAAGCTGCGTCGAACGTCCGTCGCTTCGACTCGACCTCGAGTCGAACCCGAGCCGAACCCGAGTCGAACTCGGGTCGAACTTGAGTCGAACCCGAGCCGAACCCGAGTCGAACCGAGCATCTACGCCGCGTGTCCGCGGGATCGCGCGCCCGAGTCCAGCACACACCGCCCGCGGAGAGGGCGCCGAGTCGCGGAGGACCCGAGAGCCAGAGGCCCCGCTGCTCGAGGTTTTCGCAAGTTTCTCTTTTTGGTGCAGAAGGGGGGGACAAGCGAGGGGGGGGAGCGAGCAGGAGAAGGCCTCTCTCAGAAGGGGGCGGGACTCCTCAGGAGCCCTCCAGCCACCTGAGAAGTCTGCTGCGTCGCCGGGGAAGGCTCGGAAAACTCTCTAGATGGCCAGGAGACTTCCAAGCCTTCTTCCCCCCAGGCTCGCCGCCGAGTGGGGGTGAGGGGAGGGTGAGTGAGGAGGGCGTGTATACGCGCCCAACCCCGCACATGTTCTTGGGGGTTTGGCGGCTCGACCACGTGCGGCTTCTTCCCCCCAGGCTCGCCGCCGACTGGGGGGATGGGGGGAGGGGGAGTGACAAGCTAAGTGCGCTCGCGTCATATCTGACATCCTACCCCTCCCTCTCATCCCTTACCATGGCGTAGATCCCCTCTCTACTCGCACAGTCGGATGTTGAGCAGGGCAATGATCCCGAAAGGGTACGCAATGCAGTGTAGAGCACGGCATGAAATGGCGAAGAAGAGCAACGCAAAGCGTAGTATGTCACAGCATGGCGTGGCGTGGCGTAGTGCAGAATTGCATCACAAAGCTTTGCAACGCAAAGTATGGCATCGCACAGCGGCCCCGAACATAACATTGCATAGCATGGCGTTGAAGATCACCGCGTAGCATGGCATTACATGACGTGGCACTTACGCACCTGATATGACAGCTGCAGCTGAAGGCATGGCATCGCACAGCGGAACGCAACCTAGTATTGCATTGCATGCCGTGGCATGGCACGGGAAATGACGGCAACGCTGCAGCGGGAGCACGATTCGGAACGAGCGGAAGCGCGGAAATGAGGCCAACGCTGCAGCGGGAGCACGATTCGAAACAAGCGGAAGCACGGAAATGAGGCCAACGCTGCAGCGGGAGCACGATTCGGAACGAGCGGAAGCCCGAAGATGAAGCCCGCGCCTCAGCGAGAGCATCATTTTGAAAAAAACCCAAGCGATAACCCAACTCCGGGAAATCCTGTGTAAAAAAACAGTACGCGGAGGGGTGCCCGCTATGTTCCGCACGCCATCAAGGGATGGAGGAGAGTAGTATTCATATTGTGTTATTGTGGAGGGCGCATGTACGCGCCCAACCCCGCACATGTTCTTGGGGGTTTGGCGGCTCGACCACGTGCGGCTTCTTCCCCCCAGGCTCGCCGCCGAGTGGGGGGCGGGGGGAGGGTGAGTGAGGAGGGCGTATGTACGCGCCCAACCCCGCACATGTTCTTGGGGGTTTGGCGGCTCGACCACGTGCGGCTTCTTCTCCCCAGGCTCGCCGCCACGGTGGATGAGGCGGCGAGGAAGGACGCGAGGAGGGAACACAGTCAGAACTGATGGGGAGCATGCGCGAGAAGGATGCAGGCCCCATTGGACGCCCCTGCCGAAGCTTGTCGGGCGGGACCGGCCGCCATCGCAAGTGGTCAAGGTTCGGCCGAAGGGGCATGGATGCGAGGATACCCCTTGCGAAGGCTACCTATGCTTACCATCATTCTCGGCCGTGGGGGGCGCAAGGCGAGCCCCTCCGACGCCGTGCCCCATGCCCCGCACGCACACGGATATGCGCACCCCGCGAAGCGGCCCTGCTTTACATACACACCAACACACACAAACGTGCGAGCACTTGCGCAGAGCTCCGCGCGATTCACGTTGGACGAACAGAAGCATACTAGTACTATATGTCCTCTGTGGAGGCGCGCGTCCGCCCTGAGCATATAGTGTAACAGTATACCCAGATTGTAGTATATCGTTTCCCGAGCGGTGTTGTCAGAAAGCGCTCGCCACACTCGAGGTCGAAGGTCGAGGCTTTGGGCCCTCTCTGGGCCTCCGCTGACCGCCTCTTGGGGGCAGGTTCACCCGAGGGGCTTACACGTCGGTCGGTCGGTCGGCATTACACACACACACACGTGAGCATTTGCGCAGAGCTCCGCTCAAAGCACCCTTTCGCATGGCCTGGGCAGGCAACGGCGCAAAGCTGGGAAAGTACACACCGCACTGGAACCCGAGCCTATATTTTTATATATATATATATATATATATATATATATATATATATATATATATATACATGTATATGTATATATATATATATATAAATGAATTCCCTCGAACGGATCAGTGACACAAAACGCAGAACCTCATGTGCATAGATGAGCAATGAGCTAGACCTTGCGAATGGTTTCCCCAACGGCAGGGGCAGTGTACATAAAAAAACGCACCAGCCCGCAAACAGGACGGAACCTCTTCCCTGGAAATGGTGATTGCAGAGCCAACCGCAAACAACACAACTGCGATGCTTTATGGCGCGAAAGATGTGTGGGTGGGACAATCAAATCGACCGTGACGTTCCACAGATGAACGAGAACACGGCATGACAAAAGACAAACACAGTCAACAAAAAAAGGTGCCGAATCAGAATATATATGTAAAGATGTCAGTATCAGCGCTAATACAGTCGCGTAAACTCAGTTGAGGCCGAACTTCATCTTGTAGTCAGATTATTCAGGGTGCTGCATCATGGTCACTCAGACATTGCAACCGCAATCGACGCCCTGGACGAACCCTGGCCATCCGTATGAATCTTAAGAGACACTTGCTTGGAACACGCCTCATCCGAACGAATGACGTCCGCATGGTCGTCTTCTCCCAGGAGACCTCCGACAACAAATCCTGTTCGCCCTAAGTGCTTCACGTACATGTTAAGATATTTCAGGCCTTTGCCCGTGCGTCCGTGAACGACTTTCAGCTCAACCTTACCCAGGGCAACCCATTGCGGAGTCTTGACCTCAGTTTGCAATGCGCTGTAATGGTACCCTCCTGGATGTGCTGCATCTGCCCAAGACCCCGTAACGTTCACGTGTTGGAAGTACATATCCGCACAATGTCCTCCCAATCGAGATGCAACGGCCGAGACGTGAAGCAACGCGTTTGCAACGCTCATTCCGCGTGGGATGTGAATCAGAACATGGCTGCCTGCCTGCATCAAGTCGAACCGATCACCATGAATATTTTGCAGGTGCGGGTCACCGACGGCACCAGCCCCGTCTGGCGACGGGCTGGGCGTCGGGACAGAAGTCGGTGCCAAAAACACGAAGTTGTTGTCGCTCGCCGTGAGGCCTGTGACGTAGTCGGTGCGCTGACCAACGCTCAGGAGGGCCTCCCTCTGCGTGGAAGTCATGGATGCCGCCGTTGGGTTCAGCTCGTACATGATGGCCGCGAGCCCGGAGACGTGCGGACAGGCCATGGACGTGCCCGACATCGACTTCGTCGAGGTGTCGCTCGTGTAGTACGTCGATAGGATGCCCGAGCCCGGAGCCCAAGCGTCGACGCAGGAACCGTAGTTGCTAAAACCGGACTTGGCCCCTCCCGTCGCATAAGAGCCCACCGTGATCGCCGAAGGGATCCAAGCCGGATTGTAGCCACACGCGTCACTGTTCTGGTTCCCTGCGGCCACCACCACGGTCACTCCAGCCGCCACCAGCGCGTCGATTGAGGCCTTCTCATTCTGGCTGTTGCCATCGCCCGTGATACTCATGCTCACCACTGCTGGCTTGGGACCACTCGACAAAACCCACTGCTCAGCTGCAATCATCCAAGAGACGTAGCCGCTGCCGTCGTCATCGAGCACCTTCATTGCCCAGAGTGTCGCGCCATCTGCGACGCCGTACGTGGCGGCCCCCACCGTGCCCGCGCAGTGGGTGCCGTGCCCATTGAAGTCTGCAGCGCAGGTTGTGCTGCCGCTCGCACACACTGTGAGGGAGCCTGTGGCGGCCACGTCCACTCCAGCGAAGGCCCGGCCCTCGAACTCGACGTGGGTTGTGCGAATGCCGGTGTCCAGCACGTACACGTTCACCCCCACGCCCCGTCCTCGGACCACGTCCGCATTGATGTCTTGGATGCCCCATGGGTATGTCGAAGCTGCAGCGACTCCTGTGGATGCCTCATCGATAACATCTGGGATCCTTGTCTCGTACTCCGCCACCGTGCCGCTGGGCACGGAGTGGGCACGCCCCCAGGTTCTTGCCCTCATCCTCAGTGGCCCTAATCCCCACTCTTGAGGAGTCTTTCAGGGGGCCCGGACCACACATGGCCGAATCTCCTTGGGCGCCCCGCGGCTCGTCGGGGATCCGGCGCGCCTCGTCGCAGGATTCTTCTGGGCCCCAGAGGGCCCCCAGACGGGCCAAGCTGGCGGCCAAGACCGACCTCCCTCGCCAGGAGAGGGGGAGGGAGGAGGAGGGAGGAGGGAGGGAGGAAGAGGGAGGAGGAGGGAGGAGGGAGGAGGAGGGAGGATGAGGAGGGAGGATGAGGAGGGAGGAGGGAGGGAGGAGGGAGGAGGAGGGAGGAGGCCCTCAATGTGGGGGGGGCTCCTCGACTCTCCGAGCTCCCGGCGCTCCCAGACGGCCCTCGGGACCGCCCCAAGACGGCCCAAGAGGGCAGGAGGGCCACAGCACGGCCACGGAGGGCGCCAAGGCGGCTCCAGGCACCCAAGACGGCCCTAGAGAGCCCAAAGACAGCCCCAAGAAGGGTCCAAGAGGAAGAACAGGAACCGAGAATCCGAAACTTCACCCCCACGAGGCCCCCAGGAGGCCCCAAGAGTCCCCAAGAGGCCCTGAAAGACCCTCGAGAGGCCCCGAAGACGCTCCAGGAAGCCCGAAAACGGCACAGAGACCTCCCGCGACATCCTAGAGGCCTGCGACCCACACCCCAGGCACGGTGGCGGGATGGGCCGAAGGCCATTCAATCCGCCGCCCCCTTCTGCTTCAGCAAAGGGGTGCCTAGCGTGCCAGACCCTATCGGTTTTGGTTTTGGCTCTTTTTCCAAAAGAACTCTCCTAATGGGTTTCGGCCCGTCCCGCCGGGGTCCCGGGATTTGTTCCACGGCCTCAATTTTCTGCCCAAGACGGCTCCAAGATGGCCTCCAAGTCCGCCCAAGATGGTCCAAGGCGGCCTCCAAGACGGCCCAAGAGAGTCCAAGAGGGCCCCAGACGGGCCAAGAGGCCCCCCAGAGGCCTCCCAGACGGCCCAAGAGGCCTCCAAGAGGTCCTCCAGGAGGGCCCGAAGAGGCCAAAAGCATTGATTTGCCTGAGGTTTTTGACGGATTTTGGAATGTGCTTCTTCTCGGCATTCCGACGGCCCAAGAGGTCCCCAAGATCGCCCAAGAGGCCCCCAAGAGAGCCCCATGACGGCCCAAGTGGCCTCCAAGATGGCCCCAAGAGGACCCCAAGACGGCCCAAGAGGCCTCCAACACGCCCAAGATGCCCTCCAAGACGCCCAAGATGGCCCCCAAGACGGCCCCGAAGCGCCCCAAGAGGGTCCCCCGTTGGCCCAGAAATGCCCCCCAGACGGCTCCCGACGGCGTCAGACGTGCCGGGAACCCACCAAGATGGCCGAAGTTGGCTCGAAGCTGGCCCAAGAGGGCCCAAGAGGCCCCCCAAAGGGCTTCCAGACAGGTCAGAAAAGGCCAAACACATTGATGTGCCTTAGGTTTTTGACGGATTTTGACATGTCCGCTTTTCGGCCTTCCGACGGCCCGAGACGGCCCAAGAGCCCCCAGAGATACTCGAAAGATCGCCCAAGAGGCCTCCAAGACGGCCAAGACGACCTTCAAGATGCCCACGTGTTCCCCGAAGGCTTTCCAAACCGATTCGGGGAACACGTGGTCCGATGGCTTGGTGGCCAACATGGCCCAAGATGGCCTCCAAGACGGCCCCAGATGGCCTCCAAGTCCGCCCAAGATGGTCCAAAACGGCCTCCAAGACGGCCCAAGAGTTTCCAAGACGGGCCAAGAGGCCCCCCAGAGGCCTCCCAGACGGCCCAAGAGGCCTCCAAGAGGTCCTCCAGGAGGGCCGAAGAGGCCAAAATCATTGATTTGCCTCAGGTTATTGAAGGATTTTGGAATGTGCTTCTTCTCGGCATTCCGACGGCCCAAGACGGCCCAAGAGGCCCCCAAGATCGCCCAAGAGGGCCCCATGACGGCCCAAGTGGCCTCCAAGATGGCGCCAAGAGGGCCCCAAGACGGCTCAAGCGGCCTCCAACACGCCCAAGGTGGCCTCCAAGACGCCCCAGATGGCCTCCAAAACGGCCCCGAAGCGCCCCAAGAGGGTCCCGCGTGGGCCCAGGAAAGGCTCCCAAGACGGCTCCCGAAGGCGTCAGACGTGCCAGGAACCCACCAAGATGGCCGAAGTTGGCTCGAAGCTGGCCCAAAAGGGCACATGAGGCCCCCAAGGCTTCCAGACAGGCCAGAAGAGGCCAAACACATTGATGTGCCTTAGGTTTTTGACGGATTTTGACATGTCATTCTTTTCGACCTTCCGACGGCCCGAGACGGCCCAAGAGGCCCCAAAGATCGCTGAAAAATCGCCCAAGAGGCCTCCAAGACGGCCAAGACGACCTTCAAGATGCCCACGTGTTCCCCGAAGGCTTTCCATACCGGCTCGGGGAACACATGGTCCGATGACTTGGCAGGTCTGGCCTAAACGTTCGGCCACATTGGCGCTTCCACGAAGGCAGGGGGCGGCGGTGATTCGCCGTATGCGTCTTAGATCCGCCGCCCCTTGTCGATTCATCGCAGGGGTGCCTGGCGTGCTGAATCCTCTCGGTGTTGGTTTTGGTGTTGTTCCAAAAGAACCCCCCCTGGGGCTTCGGCCCGTCCCGCCGGCCACCCGGAAACTGCATCAGTCAATGCCAAAACCGGCCGAGATGGTCCAAGATGGCCGCCAAGTCCGCCCGAGATGGTCCAAGACGGCCTCCAAGACGGCCCAAGAGAGTCCAAGACGGCCCAAAACGGGCCAAGAGGCCCCCCAGAGGCCTCCCAGACGGCCCAAGAGGCCTCCAAGAAGTGCTCCTGGAGGGCCCGAAGAGTCCGACGGCTCAAGACGGCCCAAAAGGCCCCCAAGATCGCCCAAGAGGTCCCCAAGAGGGCCCCATGACGGCCCAAGTGGCCTCCAAAACTGCCCCAAGAGGGCCCAAAGACGGCCCAAGTGGCCTCCAAGATGGCCCCAAGACGGCCCAAGAGGCCTCCAACACGCCCAAGGTGGCCTCCAAGACGCCCAAGATGGCCTCCAACACGGCCCCGAAGCGCCCCAAAAGGGCCCCAAGTCGGCCCAGAAAGGCCCCCAAGACGGCGCCCGACGGCGTCAGACGTGCCAGGAACCCACCAAGATGGCCGAAGTTGGCTCGACGCTGGCCCAAGAGGCCCCCAAGAGGGCTTCCAGGAAGGCCAGAAGAGGCCCAAGACACTGATTGTCCTATGGTTGTTGACGGATTTTGACATCTAGCTAACCATGATCAGGACCACAGAATCCATACTTAAACCCAATTGGATTCTAGTGCCACCAGGAAGGTATGGGCATCCATGTGCGAACTGTCTGCCCCACTTCTTACTGGTGTCGTCAGCGCGACAAGATAGCCCAATGCTGAGAATACTTGGTACATTCTCCCATTGAGTTCCACGAATGAAATACCGAGGTGCCCAAGGAACTGATAGGCCAGTGATCCTCATAGATGAGGATTCGGGGCACCTGATGCCAGAACAGCTGTGCCCGTTGGTCGGGCGGATGAAGTAGGTGTCGCGGGTCATGTCAGAGTGCCTCATCTTCGTAATATGCAGCCTGTTCTTTTTTATTCCGGACTCGTCTATCATGCCGATGAGCTCCAAGACAGCGTGGGCCTGATACGCCCGGCGACGATGTTTAAGCAGGCGGCGCACCGTGTCGAGATGCTTGGGGTGGTACCTTTCGCATCCTTCTGCAGGCCATGTATAGAGCAGCTGCTTCCCAACCGTCGTACTCGTCGTAGGTCGCAACTTCACGAATGAATACGTCTGACAAGTGACCATTGTGAAATGGTTTGTGACGGAAGGCTGATGTCAGCCACTCAGACGCCTCACGATGTTCTCCATACTGTCCGTGCTGAGGGTGTTCTTCGAATATTCTTTCTCTGACTCCAACGTGAGGGCGGGGCGCCTCCGCAGGATGTTGCGCGCTGCGTGGCGTGCGCGTGCACCTTCGTCAGCATGGGCAGCAGTGCCCATGATGTTGCCCTGCGCAACCATGCAGCGATCAGCTCCATCATCATTTCGCGGATGATATGCTGGATGGATTGATCTTCATGCGGTCGCCTGTGCGCATACTGCCCCAGTATTCCTTGCATTCCGGCGGTACCTCCAACGTGGGGGCCGGTTGCCCCGCTGGATTGTCAGCAGGTTGCCCGCAGAAATCTGGGCATGTTGCCCCGTAGACCGCGGGGCAGCCTCTGGCGCTGGCGTTGCGCGTGCTGCTGCGCTCGCAGCCGATGCGGTAGCGCCAACAGGACCTCTGGGGGTCCTTGGAGCTCCTTGCGGGGTACTGAGGTCGAAGTCCTGGTGTTTCTTCTCCTTGGTGCTGTAGGACTCTATATCCTTGTCCCTGGGCGCTGCCCCTTGTACCTTTGGTGTAGTAGCAAGGGGCTTCTCAGTATGCCGCGTGGAAGACGAATCCCTTGTTCTTGCCTTCCAAAGTGGGCGCCCATCCTGACCTGTGCGCCCGACCAGGTGCGGGGCCGCGACGTGGCACAGGATCCCTTGGAGTAGGCTTACTGGTGCCCTGGAATCTGGATGCTGCGGCGGTCACTGCTGGCCCTCCAGATCGTTGTCGATCAGCGCGCTGCTGAGCAGGTTGCCCCGCGTATCTCTTGCTGCCCTCAGGATTCGGATCATCGCCCGGGCCCTTACGCTTCTGCTTCTTAGGCTTAGGACGGTCAGGGCCAAGAGATGGGCTTATTGAGCCAGAATCAGCATCAGAAGACGAGGGAAGCTCGATCGTTTCCAGCTTCGGCTTGGGCGCTGCCTTTGCCGTAGATCCTGCCGATGCCCCAGAACAATGCCGCCGATAACGCTTTATGGGGCCCCGGTCAGGATTCAGATCTTCACCGCCTGGCCCCCTGAGAGCCATATTCTTAAAGCGTGCTTTATTCTTTCCATCGGGTAAGTACTTGT